AGTTGGTTAAACAAGTTGTGTATTTAATGTACAAACAATTTGTGAAGAAAAGGACTCTAACTGGGCATGTGACTGACTATATACGTAATTCTGCCAATGCTGGGAGGTGGGGTACATGTAAGGTCTTTGACGTGCTCTATCCTAGATTATACAAGTGTAATAGTGGCTACAGTAAAAAGCGACCAAAATAAATCTGCTGCACCCATTCCAACATTTGGGATCTTTATCTTTCTTTCTTCTTCTAACGACCTTTTATTTCTGGTTTTAATGTTGAGCGTTCGCCCAGGTGAGGAAGGCATTAGGTTCTGTCCCCAGGCTGGGACATACATGTGCCAAAGTCCTTAAAAATGGTAGGTGTGATTCCCTGCTTAACGTTCAGCATTTACGGTAATGGCAACAACTGGTTCACCAATTGTCAATGTTTTGTGACCAGGCGGAATGCCGTGCTGGGTGCCTTCGGTATGGTGTTTCAGTGAGATAGCACTATAAAGTCGGTATCAGATCCGCGCTATTACAAGGAGGCAAGTACACCAACATACCATGTCTCCGGCTCACATACGCACACACACGCTTACACAACACAAATGGAGGCACGTCCTTAAATAACCTTAGATGTTGATAGGACGTTAAACAAAATAAAACCAAACCAATAGAGAATCAATCTATGATCTCGGACATTCGTTGGTATAGTGCTATATGAACCTGAATTCAATCTGTGGTAACAAACGCGAAGAAAATGTTAAGGAATATATGTAGAGCTAAACATGTTTGAGAAATGGGGACAACTTTTATGATAACAGACATTTATTATGAAGCTGTGACTTTTATTAACAGATATTTCATACACAGGTATGGTGGTTTGTATAAACAGGTACATTATATGTATATACCACATACAGTAGTGGGGGTCTTTTTAAAAATCTTTTAATAACTTAAGTCACATTAAAAGTTTTTTAAAAAAAACACTGAAATAGATAATTGTACTTATTAATCAAATTTACATCCGCTTCCTGTTTTATAATAAGTTGCACATCCTAAATAAAATATTTAAAATTCTTGAGTTTAAATCGATTTATAAGTGACGCAACACTTACGGATACATCGCAGTTGAACTACTGACATTTTATCGACGATCTGCTAAAAGCGAATCAATCACTTTCTCTAATGTTCTCCCCGTTGATTCGTAGCGGTTGAATTATAACGTTAGCGGATTGATATTCCATTAAGTGACTTGAGTAGTAATGCGTCACGTGACCGTATAACGCCGGAGGGGACGTTAAACGGCAAATAAAAACCGCCACGACACGAAGTTATTACGTTTAGGATTAGATTATCCCGTCTCAAAGCTTTAAATGCTGTCCGTATCAGTTCAATATCCAGATTTACCTATTAATGCTAGACTATGACACAGTTCTAAGGTGACGAAAGCCGTGGGGCCACCACTTAAGCCGGCATTTGTCCAGAACTGTTTTATTGGGTTTAGCGCAATATTTTGAAAATATCGGATATTTTTTGTATATAACAATGCGATGTGTTGCAATAAATGGCGAAACAATGTGTTGGATTACTTATTCATAAATGCTAACTTAATGACTATATATTTGAAATCATACGACATTCGACTCTAGCCGATCAGCAAGTACAGGTAGACTGGTCGTTCATGTGTTCTGAACATGCTGGTTTGTTGATTTGTTATTTTTGAGAAACAATAACTCAAAAAAGGATGATGGTATTACTTAAGCAATTAATGGTTAAGCAAATGTTGTTATGGTCCTATAACACAAATTGCCATTGATGACAAACTTAATAAAGTCATGTAAGTTTGTCAGCAATAGAAATGTGTGTTATAGGACCATAATAAAATCATTATTTATATTAACATTTTGATAGAGTAGTTACCCTTTATTTAGCTATTTCAAACAGTTTTTTGAACAGCAAATCAAGTGTTGACAACAATGAAATTGAAGACGTCACATCAGAGATTGATGACGTTACAATAGCAAATGCTGTTATAGTCTCAAAACAACATACTGCTTTGTCCCGTCATCTTTTGCTTTAATCTAGTGCATTGGTACATGAAATTGTATTAAGCTGTAACAAGCTCTAACAGTACTGTANCCCCCCCCCCCCCCCCCCCCCTAAAATGCCCCCTTAGTAGCAAACTTAGAAAGAGTTTGGAAGTCTGATCAAGGCCGGTAAACGGACGACTTATATCGAATTTAGGGGTACTGGCAAACACTGGGAGACTAGTTGTTTGGATGGAAGTTGCAGGTAAACTGACAGGGTTTCTGATCAAAGTCTAGAGATTTAGGTAGAGTTAGGGAGAAACTTATTAAAGTCGCGGACTTAGTTACAGGTTAAACTTTGTGGTGAGTGATCAAGGCTGGGAGACTTGGATAGAGTTTGGATATCTGATCAAGTTTGAGTGGCTCGTTTTAGAGTTGTCGGGGAATCGGATCAAGGCAAGGATCATGATGGCTGGTTTAAAAACTTGGAGGTGTCTGAGACAAGTGGCTGATTTTGGAACTTGGGGGCACCTGATCAAGGAAAGGAGACCGATAGCTGGTTTTAGATTTTGATGGCATCTGATCAAGGCCAGGTGAAGTCATCTGATCAAGGCAAGGATATTGATGACTGGTTTTAGAGTTTGAGGGCATCTGATCAAGGCCAGGTGAGGTCATCTGATCAAGGCCAGGAGACTGATGACTGGTTTAAGAGTTTGTGGGTATCTGATCAATGCCATGAGACTGATGACTGGTTTAAGAGTTTGTGGGTATCTGATCAAGGCCAGGTGAGGGCATATGATCAAGGCCATGTGACTGATGTGTTTTAGAGTTTGAGAGTACCTGTTGAACGCCAGGAGACCGGTGGCTGGGCACATAAGGGTACTGTATGTGTACGAAACCCGTGATATTGCTGGTTGGGATAGAGAATCAACATTATCAAGGCCACCAATGAGTTTGAAAGTTAAAGTAGGGGTTCGCCTCGAGCTTCTTATCAAACCATCTGTGAAATCAAACTATCATAAAACGCTTCATACACACGTAATACTGACGTGTATTATAGACACGAACATACAATTCTGAGGCAGTGGTTAACACCTCCAGGTAAGAAATTGTATCAATTCAACACACCTGTGCATACCTTTATACGAAATATCGTGCGTCGTCATACCTGTGAGGAGTATAATGAGATTGTGTGTACGGAATGTGGAATTTCACCGATACACAAGGCACTTTTAATTCTTTGTGTACATTTTGGTATTTGATAAGCCTACCTGTTCGATTTTCACCTGAGGGAGACCATAACAATTGTAATACCGCGTCGCCTTTTCCCTCGTAAAGTAACTTGCGGAAACAGTACAAGACATGTGGACTTAATGACTTTCGATCTCTTTGTAGTTCTTCTAAAATATTTTTAACGTCTCGTCACACCTCTCAATTCCTACACGGGACACGTAATATAACTGACAGTCACCGAGCTAAAATGCTATGTACATTGTATATTGTACAAGCTATAAGCAAGCTGGGAGAGGAATCATTAATAACAGTTCAATGCCTCAATATCAACCCCATTTGCTATTATATACCTATATATATTTGTTTACTAATAAAAAGTAATTTGTTCAGATATATACGTGCATTTATTCCTCTCAGTATACCATCGTTAATTAAGATTTGTATACTATAACTTTAGTATACAGACACATCTCTGTGTACACACAGGGGTAATGGGAGTATAACCGTTCAGTATCTTTTCCGGATGTCTTTATTCATTTTTACCATATAATAACTATTACTATATATATCTATGTTTCCTAAATGACTGTCACGCATCGAGATTTCAGATTTACTTCAATGGTTATTGCATCTTTAATATGTGTGTCGGGAGAAGAACCCTTGGATTTCGAAGATGCATTTATCAATGTATTTTTTAGATTATGGTTTATACTCTTCATACATATACATACGCATGCACGTGTACACTACATACATATACATACGCATGAACTTGTACACTACATATATATACATACGCATGAACGTGTACACTACATACGCATGAACTTGTACACTACATATATATACATACATACATACGTACTAGTATGAACTAGTACACTACATACAGATGCATAGTATGAACTAGTACACTTCATACAGATGCATACTATGAACTTGTACATTTCTGTTTTGATGCTTTAAAATGACCAATATGTGGAAAATGACGAATGTAACTTAAACAGTATGTGATCAGTGTAAAGTTTGAACCCGTTGCGGATACGTGGTTAAATGACCAGTCGGAGGAGGTGGGATCCAATGGGGGCAGGGCAATTTTTTTAAAGAAAACTTCCAAACCTGGGGGTAGGGATGCAGGCTGAAAGCGCAGAAAACTCCTATAGACTTGTCGATGTGAGCTACGACACGGTCTCACAGTTGTAAAATGAGTTGACTATCTCGAGAAACAATGACGAATATTTAGGTTTAGATTTGATGAATCGTGTTGTTTCTGATCATGCTTGCACGATCGTTTATAAACCTGCTGTGACATTTTTATAAACTCTGTCGTAAGATTAGATCCGCAGACCCGTTTCATGTTACATGCATACACATAAACGACAAAAATAAAGTGTCTTGTATACTGGCATGTTAAAATTATACCTGTACTTCGAGCCTGCACGACAAAAAATGTTATTATGCAGTTAATATGTGCTATATATTTGAGGACCCTGGTTTTTGTGTACAGTATTGATGTATGATATATATATATTCGGTCGTCTTGAAAATTCACACATAGTCAGCTCTCTATAATAAGGAGCTTTATGATGACAGTATGTTTACCTGTTTGCTACTCACACAGAAGGAATGACAGAGTGAGACATTAATATAGAAGTTATGTATATATGCATAAAGAAAATAGGTCTGTGATGTAGGTAATTGATTATTTAAATCCCACATTGTATACATATTTCAGTACCAGGTAAACTTTAGATAACTCACCGTTCGTGTAGATTTACTCGCCATTCTGTTTTTACACAAGGATATGTTCCATGGTAGAAACAAATCAATATGTCACAAAACACATTGTGTTGGATACGATTTTTTTCACTTTTTTCTTGTCACACCTGTGCTCGCTTACAACACAGCACGTTACTTGTACCTGGTAGTCACTATAACTAAATACAGGTAGGCAATCTTTGATCACAGGTAAATATTCCAGTGAAACCTAACACATACACGTCCGGTGTTACTACAGCTATATATATATTCCAAAGCAGGACAAGTTATCGGCTAATGAAATCGTTGTGACAGGTGAGAATGTTGTCGTTCGGGTACCTGTGTCGCTACTCCGCCATGTTACATGAACACACCCTGTATACACACACGGGTATTTGTGTGAAGCAGACCAAGACTTAACAAGGTAGACCTGTTTGACCTAGAACCCGTAATGAATGGACTTCCACGTTCGTCTTAAAATAGCACCGAGACAGGTTTTTAACACAATTCCATTCTGTTCCACAATAAAGCCCGACTCTACATGGTTGGGTAGGTTTCAAAATAATCCTTCGGGGCTTCTCGGTACTTATCCGAGTTGACAGTTTTAATTTCATCAAAGGTTTCAGATATGTCAAGGTACCAAGCGTTATCAGGGCTATCTGAAAACGAAAGTACTCCAGCAGTTCTAAACATTTGGCGGGCAGGTAGATTACATGTCGAGGACGGTATCGACTCCGGCATGCGTACTATAGACATACCGAGTAGGGGGATTTGAAATAACGCACTCTAATTCACAATCATATATATAAAGACATTGTTCTTGTCCAGTGGTCACTGTTACACCTGCGAGTTTGGGAAAGGAATCGGCCTTTACATGTCGTATAAGACGATTAATGTGGGACTCCCGGGGCTCCCTGCAGAATCGGGACTTCCGCTAAGGGGAAAATTGAAGAATTGAAGTGTAAGCCCAGGCCAGGGGTTTGGAGGCCACAAAGGCCCCCAGCTAGTCCAGGACAGGGCCCTGATGGGGGGGGGGGGGGGACGAAGCCCCCCGACGAAGCCCCCCGACTTTTAAGAGTTGACGAAGCATTCAAATTGTTATCCGAGACAGTTATTTAAAGACATATTTAGTGTAAAATGCGCTGAAATAAAAAAAACATCACACAACTTATGTTCGCTATTATGTTTATTTTACACTACACGTTGCCCAGCCAACATGCAATTTACAGCTTACAGCTAGAAATGTCTAGATACAAGACACTTTCCTTTTCTTTTGTGTTATGAAGTTGTATTTATAGAAATTTCTCTGTGGACATGTAGCATTGCTAGCGAGGAAAGACGGTCTTGGTTTGTCTTGGTACTGTTCAGTAAAAAATATAAAGTGAAACCGACTTCCACTAAACGATAGTCATATATAGAATCAATTATTTTTCTAATCATGATTTTAGACACTGCTTATCAGACGCCTTCTGAGTACGTTAATAAAAGCTGCTAATAAAATCAAATGAATTAGCCCCACCCCCCTCAAAACAGAAGGAGAAAATCTATAAGTAAAAGTTCTATAAGTTATATAGAGGTTCCCCAACGAGTAATGGTTGGTTATCATGTTTATCTAACTCGAGTTAGTTAATTTTCAAATTGTATAATTACCGAGCGTCTTTTACAATTTTAAAATTAACTAACGAGAGTTAGATAAACATGATATTCTACCATCACGAGTTTGGAATCCTCTCCTCCCATAATGTACATATTTTACCTGGAAAGCCATATGTTTCCCTTGAAAGTACACTATGTATGCATCCGATGGTGGAAACAATTGCCGTGATCATGACGTCACAATGGAAGATGACGTCGCAAAGCATTGTTACGTGACGTCATAAGTAAAAAAAAAAGTGACCAATGAAATCACGTCCAGGGTGTTACTCACTAGTGGGTAGCCAAAAATGTTTATCAACTCCTAGCATGTTAATCCAATGAATCGGGAGTGAGGAAACCTATAATGATTGTGGGAGAAAAGTATATAAATCCCGACCTGTCTACCCTATTTTTTCAGTCATGCTACCAGAAGTTTGTTTTCTATATGATTAGTCTAAATGCCATGACGGAGAAGGTCTGGGTCCCACGTTTTTTACAATAATGCTAATTCATATTTTCCTTTCGAGAATGTATAAGAAGTCTTCATCAGATCATCTGATTAGAAAAATATTTTTTTGTAGTTTCTATCGACAATATCGTAACGTTAAACCCCAAAACTGTCTCAACTACATCGAAGGGAATTCAAATGTGTCTAGGCCCTGTCACAGAGACGGTGTCGTCAATAGATTGTGGACAACTTGTTCTGAATTGATTTCTTGCTGGGATTTAAATACCATGTCAATGTACAATGGTCTTTGCTGGGGTGTCTTTCTTGGATTTGGAGGGTCCAAGCACGTGCTTTGCTGTGTGCTGCTTGGGCCTGCGGGTGGACTTGTTAGATTATCAGCAATATTTGCATGTACCGGGTTTTTAGTAACCGACGTCGTGGCAGGGATTGTGTCACCTTTTGAATCAGTATTACGTGATTTTGGCTTGAAGAAGGTATATATCGTTTTTGAAATATTGGAAGCCTTCTTCATTTTGAAACACCGAAAATACCGGATTGGAAGTACTAGACGATCATGACATATTAGATATTCCGGAAAATATGATGTAGTATTATAAGTATCTAGTAAATAATTAATACAAAGGTCAATTAAGATATTATCTTGATAACATGGCGTCATCTTTTGTTTGGTTTCAGTGGCTACTTTTTTGACAAATGGTAACACTTGCCCGGGCTTTTTTTTTACGCCCCTGCCTTTGGTCTTTGTGTTGAGTGCTTGTCTAAGTTGGTTAGGTAATGGGCTCTGTCCCCAGGCCGGGACATACCAAAGTCATGTTGTTAGGGCTATCACAAACAAAATGGTCTACCTGTTGTCAGTATAACGTGACCTGGTAGAATACTGTGCATGCTATATCAGTGAGGTAGCATGCAAAAGTCGGAATCAGATTAATGCTATCACAAGGAGGCAAACACATCAACATGCCATGCCTCCCGCACATATAGTACACACATGGAGGTACGTCCTTAAATGTGCTTAGCTGTTAATAGGACGTTAGATAAAAATAAAACCGAACCAGTGGTCACTATGATACATGCACATCTGATTGTCAACTGGACATAGTCCCACCAAATACATTCAATTCAATTTTTTTTCCCGTAAGTTTTACAACTTATAGGATTTTTTCAACAAATAATTTCATATAAGTACAACATATACATATTACTGGCACATTCATCACAAATCAGCAGCAACAACAACATCATCGAAAGCATAATTCATCGCTTTCATCATTATCATCATCATCATCATCATCGTTGTCGTGGTCGTCGTCTTATAACTCATCATCATGAAATAATCATCTCTTTAAATCAACATCAAATACTACATCATCATCCGTCAAAGTACAACAACATGAAATAACATTTTAACATGAATTTCATAAAACTGGTACATTTTTCACATATCAACGATATTATTAAAATCATTACCACTTTCATCATCATCATCATCATCATCATCATCATCAAAATATCAACATCATCGAAAGCATCTATATCATTATCATCATCATCATCATCATCATCATCATCATCATCATCATCAACAACAAAAAACAACAACATTGAGCATTTACCATGAAAGATTGTACGAACAAAACATGGACATGATACATATATATACTAGTTATATAAAGACTTTGGGGATGTTGGATGTTCCACGTGGCCGTAACCCCTGTGATACTTTGATTAATCTAGCGAAGGAAGTGTCACACGTGACATGACCCAACAAGAGAAAATCCTTAGTGAGAGAATGAAAGAAGCGAAGTCGCACAATGGTGTAAGTTCTAAGGAGAACAATGGAACAAATGAATTTAGAGAGTTTTAGGTTGCTATTCCCATCTTTAGTTAGACCACACATTTAATACGCAAAACATACATTGAAACAATGGGAAATTTTCAACTTCAAGCAACAAAGCATGTACCTGGCCTAAAAGACTTATTATGTAAGAAGCGATTAGAGAAAATAAATAAACCTACATTAGCGTATATATAGAAGATCCCGTGGTGACGTGATAGAGGTCTACAAAATATTATCCGGGAAATATGACTGTGAAGTTTCCAATCAGTGGCGTAGCATATATGTATGCTTGTATGCTCAGGCATACACTAACATTTTCAAAAATGTTTAATCATATATTTTATTGATTTGGTTTTTTTATGAGTAATAAGGACCGTCCGCAACAATCATAAAAAGGGAGAGAAATACAAAATAAATCTCAGTCCGACGGAATATATTATACCGCGTTGTTCTCAGATAATCGATTAAGGGCCTTTTAGTCTTATTATTAGCTAGTTAAACTTTTACTTGTTTATAATAAGACTAAAGGTGTTCCAAGAACACGGGAGATTGCTTCTAGGGCTAAGTAGAATTTGTCTCCAGCTGTGAAAGCATACACTCCGAAAAATGATTTGCTCCGCCACTACCAATCTTTTTAATACAGGGAAAGTTCATCTACACTTGGACACAACTTTAAAGTTTACAAATCGCATTCAAGATTAGATAACAGAATGTTTCTGTCTACATACAGAACTGTTTATTTCTGGAACAATCTTCCGTCTAATGTTGTGAGTTCAAGCACAATTAAACAATATAAAGAAATAGTTTTAAAGACAAAATCGAAATCTAAGCGTCGCAATTGTTTCAATTTGTTTTCATTTTATTATTTTTTTTAATTTAAAAGCTGAGTGTCAATGGATTTTAAAATCCTGATTTTGTCAGAATAGAATCAACTTACTTGTTGTTATTTACATATATTCCACCCAACTCTTCCCGGTATTACGAGCTATATGAATGTATCATTTTCCAAGTACGAGAAAATATGTGTAAAAAATATTCTGTACATAAAAATGTAATAGTGGTTGGCGATTTCAGTAGTCGTACTCGTGATTCTGATGATTTACTTCATTGTACCATACATTACCCATTCTTATTTATTAAAAAGCAAAGACCAGCCTCAATACATGGCATGTCACGAATCGTAAAACACGTATTAGATTGCATTGACCTTCAGCCAACACGAGAAAATTTTATTAATAATATAACAGATCTCAAATCTGTTTTCGAAACGGTAAATATTGCAACAATTCTAACCTACCTAAAAACCTGCTGTTCTGTTCAAAAAGATACAAATAACCATAGCCACTTCACTGCTCAAAAAGATACAAATAACCATAGCCGCTTCACTGTTCAAGTAGATACAAATAACCATAGCCGCTTCACTGTTCAAAAAGATACAAATAACCATAGCCACTTCACTGTTCAAAAAGATACAAATAACCATAGCCGCTTCACTGTTCAAGTTACCGTTTGTCTTTTATCTTTTTGTTCGTTTGAGTTTCAAGTTTTATTTTTTACACTCATGACACACAAGGTGTGTTACAAGAGGTCAACATTTTAATACGTTTTAATTACCTAGCATTTGTAGTGAAATAATTAT